TAATAATAATAATAATAATAAAACATAAAAGCAAAAGTAACTAATGTAAATAAAAATCAAAAGAAGCCACCTTCATATTCCCCATAAATCATCACTACAAGAAAACTTAGCTTCATCGACCAAATATCACCGAGGTAAGAAGGTTTCTTGGTGAAGCATCAATTTACCGACAAGAATCAAGTCTGCAACTTGAGAAACAGTAGAAACGCGAGTAAGATATATTATTTAGTATACAGACGTAACACTTGTCTGTAATTTAAGATAATACATACGTGTCACTCGTCGGTAAATGCAGTATCTGCTCCAGCCGGTGGGGGAAGAACAAAAACCCATATCACCGACGAGGAGAACGCCTGTAAATTCAAATTTGGAACGACAGTCTCGTCGGTAATTAAGGATCAATTTCCAAGTCCCCCTTCTCGGTAATTTCCACTCCCAATGCACCCCCCCGCCAACCAGCTGGCCGCATGCGGCAGGGAGTGCAGCTTTTTGCTAATTTGCCGACATAAGCCTTGTCGATAATTTGGCATTCAGCAACTCCCCGTGAATCCGGCTACTGGTCGGTGGCGTTGCAGCTTTTATTTCATTACTGATGACATGCAGGTCGATAATTGTTGCATTGCCAACTTGATGCTCATCGGTGATTGGCCCGGTCAACGAGAATCCTGATGCAATGCAGAGGTGATCAGCTTTAGACTATAGCAACGTGGATTTCGTCGGTAAATTTGGCTATGCCCTGCCGACCCACCCTTCTGCCTTCATTTTGGTCTTTCTCCTTCCATTTTCCTTTCCCTCTTGTCCCGCGAGTTGTTCTTGCTCCCTTTCCTCCATTCTTTCCTTTGAAGCACTTTAACACATTTTTCTTCTTGCAATCTAGTGGATCAAGCAGTGGGGCAAAAGGTACCCGTTTGCCCCTTAACTTTTCGATTTTGAGGGTTTTTACCCTCTATATTACAATACATGAATTTTTACCCTTCATATTTTCAAGCTTGAGGAAATGAGGCAAAATTTAACGCCGGAGCGTCACGTGTAGCACGTGCACCGTTGGCTTCCGTCAAGTGTGCACATGTCAGCGCCACCTCAAACTTTTTTGACAACTTGGCATGCCAACTTGGAACCACATGAGCGGAAAATCTACATGCGACCAATTTTATTTGTGGGCCCCACTGCTAACTAAAGGTTTGAAAAAAAAAAGGTTAAATCCTCGATTCAGTCCCTTAACTTTCATTTTTGAACTAAATTTACCCTCGAATTTCAAAATATTGTGACTTGGTACCAAAAAAATAATTTAATAAATAAAAATTTCTTTTTTTTTCTCCTTCTCTTTCCTTTTTCTCCTTCCCCTCCCTACTGGGTTCGAAGGAACCCAGCACCAGCGCCTGGGACAAATCACAGTTCTCTGCCTCCTTTCTCACAACATCAAGAACATAAGACTTAAGCAGACAAGGAGTTAGATGACTATACTATCACTATCAAATTTATGAAAACACTTTTTATCGTTGAGTGAGTTAAAGGAAAACACCGGCTTGACGAGGTCGAATCGGAGAGCGTACAAGATATTGTTGTCTTCGAGTTGCTGGAGCACATGTAGCGACGCATCGTTGGTGCAGAGGAAGAACCCGACCTTGGAAAGATCGAGGTTTTTGATTCGAGAGGTCAATGTTGGAGACGGTGAGCTCGAAACGTCCAGTGTGGGTGAATCCAAACTTATCGAAAGGGATTATGGGGCAGTTGTCGAAGTGGATCTCTGAGAACTGGATCTTAGCAACCGAGAGAGAAACAAAAAGGGAAAGAAACAGAGGAAGTAGTCGTAGGAGAGCCATGGATGGCCAGAGTTTGGCGTAGATCTGAAGCGATTTGCAGATCTACCGAGGGAACGAAAATTACCGAGGGAATGGAAGAAGAAGGGAGAAGAGAGAGATTTGATGGCTTGATTTTTTGGTCCCAGTGTAGTGGAAGCACTCAATTCCTCCGGCGGAATGAGGGAGTCATCATCGGCTTACTTTAGAACGAGCTATGCAAGTCAGCATTCTCCAATTTTGCACAGATTATTTCTTCTCTGAAAGAGCAACTACATTTTAGATTCCTTTTGAAAAGTGGAGTGAAATTGAAGCAAAGAAGTGATTGGTAGGAGTAAAGGCGAGTTCACTTTACCTGAGAAGTGAGAGATTTACAGTCCAATATGTTTGAGAAAAACCCAGATTTGGAGAGGAAGAAGAAGGGAGAAGAGAGAGAGAGAGAAAGAATAAGAAGAAAGGAGGAAGGAGGAAAAGTTGAAAATAAGTTGATGCATATGCAGTTTTTTGTTGTTGTTTCCGTGCACCAGAAATAGAGAAAGAAGAGAGAGCGACACTTCACCTTCCAGCAATCAATGTAGGCCTCGAGCAAGCGCGGATAAGAAGGATGCGAAGCGATTTTGGCTTTGATGATG